TACTCTATCGCTATCGCTATTACTAAGCAATTATATTAATTAAATATCGGACTTTAATTTATGCATGATAGTCGAAGCCTGACGCTAGGGGTACAGACGGTCAGGTAATTAACATCATCGGCGTAACCTGTCACAGATTCAGTACGTGCCGTGACTATGCCCCAGTTGTTTTTTTTACGTGACAAATTTGTTTGGCGGCATTTCTTGTTACTTTACTTTCAGCATTTTTCACTTGACAAATTTATTTAGCGGTATAAAATTTATATTTAAAAAATTGAATTTTTATTGCACTCAATAAAAATTTTTAGAAATCAGAATAATAATTCCAAAAATGACAATGCTGATAATTATTATTCATGAACCCCACGATCAACAAATAGTAACAGACTAAATGATGTCAAAATTATTGGTTAATTTGATACGTATTGACATAGAGCCAATAAATTATGTATTGGGTATCAAGTCTTAAATAAATCAACATATTTTGTTTTTAAACATATTTACAAATTTCTTATATTTTGTCAATTTTGACCGTGTAATAACGATGGATTATTGAACCCACAAAATCGTTATTTATTTCTCTATAAATGCAAATTTCTATCTTTGACTCAACATAATTTGAATTTTTAACTGCAAATTTCTTTCTTTAATAAAATTAAAAATTAGTTACTGTAATATTTAGCGTATTATTCTAGTCCAAAAATCGAGGGAAGTGGAGGTTGATAATTGATATCAAAACACGCGTTCACTTGACTGAAATCTGGAGAAGGATCGGGTGGTAATTCGTACATGCCAATTTCAATAAAAGGATTAGATAATGAGCAAAAACAATCTGAAAGATAGAAAAAAATTGAAAAATTAAAAAATTAAACAACTATTATTTGATGTACTTTTTATAACAATGGATTTTTTTACCTTTTGATGAATTTAAATGAAAATTTACATCTGATAACATTAATAATTCTTTAGAAAAATTTTGCAATTGGTAATCTTGAAAGTTTTGATTTCTACTTGACACTTTGCAAAAAAAAAAAGCGAAAAATCATGATCAGAACTTATAAAAGTAAGCCAGATTTTACAAAATAATTGACAAGAATGTTTTTACCTTTGGAATTTAAATGGCAATTTATGTTTGATGATAATTGCCATTCTCTATTGAGATTGGAAATGTTATAAATATTACTTGAGGTTGCAATTGGAAGATTAAATTGTTGAGGAATAGAGGCCAAAGCCTGATTGTTTTGATCAAACTGATTCCTGTTTAATGCTGAACCTAAATGCATCAAAAAGTTAAAAATTTGTTTATACTTTGATTCATTTTTACGTGAACTAAAATTTACTATTCACCTTGTAATGAATTTAAATGGCAATTTATATTTAATGACAATGACCATTCTTTATTGTAACAAGGTGAATTAACATTATGGGAAGCAGGTGCAGGTAATTGAGCCTCAGGTGCCTTGAATAAATAATCATTCATGTTTGGCACTTGATAATACAGTAAAAAAATGATTTTTAATGAGAGTTTAAAAGCATTTAGACAAGTCATTTACAAAAATTAAGAACACAAAAAAAAAAAATTTACCTTGAGAGAAATTTAAGTACCAGTTTATGGTTGAAACTTGTTTATTATTGTTGGGTAAGCAAGTCATATTCGAGTCTTGCTGTGATTTAAAACAGTTGAGCATGGTGGCTATTGAAGGGTTTTGTAATTGTTGCTTGTTTAGTTCTTTGCTTGACTTAAAAAAAAAATTTCAAAAGACAGAAGAAAAAATTTTTAATTTTAAAAATTTTTTTTGAAAAATAATAAAATTCTCACCGTCGAGCAAAACTGAAAAAAAAGTTGTTAAAGTGTTAATTTGTAAAAACAAAACAAGAATTAAGAAAACCGAAATTACCTTCTTGTTTTTTAAAAATTTGATATGGTTGAAAATTAATTTTTGGACTCTCACATTTGGAAAATTCAGATTTGTAGATACACGAGGCATTTTTTTTCCTATTTTTACATCTATCACAAGGCTTTTGACCGTTACATTTTTTTTTAAGCAACCGACAAGGAACGCAGGCCTCGTCAATTCGTCTTGATTTTAAAGCAATTAGCATTGGAAATGGTTTAAGAAAACGAAAAAATTGAGAAAAGCAAATTTCAAAGTATTTTGGAAATGGTTTAAGAAACCGAAAAAAATTGAGAAAAGCAAATTTCAAAGTTTTTTGCAACGCGATTGGTTTTGTTTTTCAAATTTTTTTGAACTTTGAAAAAAAATTCCGAAAAAACTGAGAGCATTTTATATGCATGCTGGGAAATGTACTGGTTCTCTCAGATTAACTAACGTTAGCTCAACCAATTTGTGGCCAATTGATGATGTCACAAATTAAGGAATTTCATAACCTTTTTATTTATGCAATGAATGTTAAGGTTGCGTAAACAAGAAATTTTTTTGACATGTGGTTTATTGTTCGATTTTTGTGCAAATTTTTATTTGTAAGCACGCATTTGTGAAAACAGAATGAAAAATTTTCGCGTTTTTGGCAATTGGAATTTCAGAGATTCAAAAAAGCCTGATGAAACGAGGTAAAAACGTTTATGTTTATTTGGTAAAAGTTTTTTCTGTATGAACAAAAAAAGAAGCTGCTGCGTCCTTGCGACCATGCAACACATGACTTTTCCTAAAGGAATTTTAAAAACAAATTTGGACGCTTTGGTGCAGCAGATTTTCCATATTCGTTCGATATCACATTATGTAAGCAGTGCAATTTTAAAAACAAAAGGTTACGTAATGTTTGTCAGCTTGTGTAATAAATTCTTCTGCATTTTGAGCAGTTTAGATAATCTTTTCAAAAAAGAAAAAAGAAATAAGTGAACAATTTATTTGTTTCCAATTCTGCAAATATTTAAAGCATGCAAATTAACAAATGTCGGATGTAACGAGAGAAATGGTTAAAAAAAAATGGTTAACGAAGGTTGATTACGTTAAAGAAAAATAAATTTTATTTCTGCACTTTGATGACATTATAATTATATAATTTACGCACGTACGTACGTACATACGAATTTACGCACGAACGCATCCTTGCAGAAAATCAACAACCTCTCGAAAACATCACCATAATACAATCCTTTTTAGGTATGGTGTTACGGTTACGGTTATAAAACTATAACACATGTTAACCTTTAATGAATATATTAATAAATACTGTAATACCCGAAATTTTCCGAGTTACTCAATAAGATCCATGTCTTTAATAATGATTTTAATTAAATAAAAATTCAAGGTTTTTTTAAAAAAAAATTATTTCTTTTTTGCCAGGGTGTATAATTATTATACCCATGCTATCAGATTTATGTTTATGGCTGATTTTGCTGTTTCACGAATTGATTCAATTATCATTTTTATTTACCGGACTTTTCCTTACTGCCGACATAATATGATTTGCAATAAAATTACTTACATTTCATATATGTCTTTGATTATTTCTTGATTTAATTTCATATGGGTAGTAAACATCTAATGTTATTCAAATTATTTTGTTAGCAAACATGAAATCTGGAAATAATTATTTTGTATATTTATTAACTTACCAAATATTATCAACATAAACCGCAGTTAAAATCAGTTACAAGATTGTAACATGATATTACCAACGAGGTAACCGATTATTTTTAAATAATCCTTAAAAAAACAAATGATAGTAGGTGTATTTCAATTCGACTATGGTATTTATTCCCTTTCTTAAATCTTTTGAGTTTTGAAAAAATTTAAATTTTAAATTAATTCATGTAAATTATATACTTTTATTATTTTAATTACCTTCATTTGCAAGATTAATAAAATATAAGTATTATTTCCCTATTATAAAAAAATTATTTCAACAAATGTTATATTATTGTATTTTTTATTCATTTCAACAAAAAATTATGTATTTATGGAAATATAATCGATTCTAATACTTACTCGTTAAAAATTGAGAAAAGTAATGGAGTAAACAAACTTATGAAATATTTATAACTTTGACGCATTTTTTTTTTCTGGGGGCCATTTGTGTCACCTATTTGAAAAATATTAGCTTCTGTTTGATGTTGGAATCTTGTGCTTTTATATATTTTCTATCGCTTTGGACGTGTTGAAGTTATCATAAGTTTTCTATTCTTTTATTAGACTAAATTTGGTAATTTTGCGCTCTATAATGGGTGCTTACCTAATAAATCTAGATTGCACATCTCATCCAAAAAAGGCTTTTTGGTACAATTGTTCTATTTGCCCGTACCACTCATATAACGAATATGATAAAAATGTTCGCGATCTAGACACAAAGCCTTAGATTCAAAAATTAAATTAATCAAACCAGTACCAAAATTTTTTTATTTAATAGTGTTGTGACTTTTGAGTCACAATTATATCTGAAATTGAAACTAAAATGTTATATGCATGTATTAGTAATCTGAAAAAGTCCGAATCTTTATAGGAATCAAACCCGATCCCCGATATCGGAGTTTTTATTTTATAATTAATTTATTCGGCTGCATGAACTAAAAAAAAGCTTTATTTTTGTATCCTCTATTAAATTTTTTTCTGAATACTTTGTATTTACAATGTAATGTTAAGCACGTGCTTACATATAAATTCGATTCAGACTTTTATTTCAATTAACCTAAAAGAATAATGAACCAATCATTTGAAGCACCTGATTATCGGATAAATTTTAGGAAAAAACAAATGAACGTTACGCAATGCAATATGCACAACTGCCATGCCTTTATGTTGCGTCAAAATTCAATTAGAAAAAATCGACAATTCATTAGGAGTTACTAAAATATTCAATAAAGTTTGAAGTTAACCAATTGTATTCAAAAGATTATTAAGTAAATGCATGATCTGCGTAATAAAGATTGAAAAACAAAGTATTAGTTCGAATCTTGGTACATTAGAACAAATGCTAGTAATAAAAAATGTAAAATTCAGATAATAGTATTAAATATTACTTAGATGATCAATTCAATTCTATGGTTCAATTTATTCTTGCGACTTGTTATGAGTAATATAGATCTGCTGATATGGGGAATGTGTGATGTTGGTTATTGTTATCTTTACGAAATTGAGATGAAAAAGTTAACAAAGGACAAAAAGACTCTTTAAATGCTATTTAAAAAGTCCGAATATTGATGTTGTGGAAGGCATGTTGGAGGTGTTGACCGGTGTTATCAGGAAGGTATTGGTGCTGAAAAGAATAATGATTTGGCATTTGAGTGGCACTTAAAATTTGCAGTTACTGAACATGAATGTGATGATTTCTATTTCCGACGGACAAAATAAGACAATTTTAGAAACATTGAAGAAATATGTAAAGGTGGACTTCCCATAGTGTATGAAACATCATAAGAGACATATAAAGAAATTTCAATCCAGATAATAAAAGATTCGAATAAAAATCAACCCATTTTTTTTCCACGGTAAATTTATATTATTATTTTAACCTATTATTTTTTAGTTAAAGGCTTAATATGAATTTGTAACTATTATGGTATATCAATGAATAAGAATAGAGATTTTAATTTCAGTTACGAAAAATTTAGATAATTATGAAATCTTAAAGATTTATTTAAAATTGAGTATCATGTAATATCGTTAACAATCTATCAAACATTCATTCTAAAAAATTTGTAAATCGTGATTTAGATTCTAGGAATGTTTTGATAATAGAACCATATAAAGCTTATACGTATTATAGATTAAGGTTTATCAATTTTGTTTAATGAAAAACAAGATGATGATATTTATGGTGTTTTACCATATTTAGCACCTAAAGTCTTGAAAGGTGATCATTTCACTCAAGCTGCCGATATTTACAGTTTTAGAATTATTATGCTGAATTAGCTGTGAAGTTTTGATACGGATTGTGACCTGAATTTAATTTAGTGACACCAAAATGTTATGCTAAATTAGCCAATCAAATGTTTTGATTATAATATGAAAAAAAGTCTACAACTGTTGAGATTCTTAATAAATTTTAAAAATGAATTTTAGTTGCTGATGATTGCAATTATAATTAAGGATGAAAATGACTTAAACCGTGAGCTTAAAAAACATGATTGTCTGGTTTATGATAATTCTTGCTATCATAAATATGACTCAATCCAATACAAAAAAAAAAATTATATTTATTATGATTACCGGGTTTGAAAGATTATTTGATATCCATTATGTCTTGTGGAAGACCGAAATCAGGTCAAACTGTTCCGCATCAATTTGGAATTCATGTCGATTCGGAATTGGCATGTGTCATTAGTGAATCATGAAATGACATTGTCGTTTTAGAATCGGTATCCATTTACCGATTAATAAAAAAAGCGAAAAAAATTTTTTATTAAAAAAATATTAATAAATTAATTCAAATAAATAATAATTCAAATAAAATAAATCAAGAAAAATAATTAATTAAAAAGCAGATAAAATGAATTGTTATATGCTCACCTAAATGCTAAATGCTAGCTAAATTTTCACACATTAAATGAATATATACTGTATATATAATTTAACAATATAATTAATAATTTTTGCATTCCCCATGTAGAACGCATCTGCATTTTCTTGAACATAACGAATTCTTTTTTCTACATGAACACAATTTGGTGCTGCAGTTTGTTTTTTCGGCAATGGTGGGAATCAGGTCGAGTGTCTTGGCTTGAACCAATATTATACATAATACTAATGTTATAAAATTATATAATTAATATTTTTTAATTGTTGATTTTTTTTAATTATTTACTCAAGAAGTATATTTGGCGGGTACTCATTAATATAATGAACTTAATCATATTGAAAATTATAAGTTGGGCGTTTGTTATTATAGTTAGTTGATATTTTATTGTTATGAGTTGGACATGTAAAGTTTTGTCTGGCACTTGCTTCTTTCAATGAAAGAATGTTATTTAATGGTACAATTTTGAGAGCAGAATAATCAGAATTACCAAGCTGTTCAAGTTCATTTG